GGAGCTATTTTGGGGTTATTTGGGATTGTTTTGGACTTTTGAGTTTGTTTTGGTTTTTTTGGGCTGTTTCTGGTGGTTTTTGGATATTTTGGGTGGTGTTGGGGGTTATTTTGGAGTTATTTGGGTTTGGTTTTGGTATTTTTGGGAGTTTTTTTTAATTTTTTTGTTGTTTTTTTTGGGGTGATTTTTGGGGTGCTTTAGGGCTTATTTTGGGCCTATTTGGGGTTTTGGGGGTATTCTATGGTGTTGTTTTGTGGTTTTGGGGCTTACTTGTGGGTGATTTTGGGCTTGTTTGGAATTTTTTGGGTTTTTTTGTGTTTTTTTTTGGGGGGGGTTATTTGAGGAACAGTTTGGGATTATTTTGGGTGTAATCTGGGTCAATTCTGGGATTATTTTTTGGGTTTCTTTTTTTTGCCTTCTTTTGTGTTATTTAAAGCAATTTATTCTCTGTTCAGCTGTGAATAATTTGAGGGGGGTGTCCCCAGATTGGGGGGGTTGGGGACCCCAAAATGTCACGGAGTGGGGAGGGGGGAGGGATGGGACACTTTAATCAGGGACAGATTTGGGGTCATGAGTGGGAGGGGGGTGGCGGCACCGGGATTTGGGACACTGGGGACAGGGGTGGGGTGGGGGACCTGGATTGGGGCTGGGGACACCTGGGATGGGGGGGATCCCATTGGATTGGGGGATTGATCCCACAGGTTCAGGGGGATTGATCCCACTGGTTATGGGGGATGAATTCCCTAAATGGGGCAATGATTCCACTGGATGAGGGGGATGAGATCCCTAAATAGGGGGGATGATCCCACTGGTTTTAGGGGATGATTCCATTGGATATGGGGGATGGATCTCTCTGGTTTTGGGGGATGATCCTCTTGGATGAGTGGGATGAGATCCCTAAATAAGGGGGATGATCCCTCTGGATGGGGGGGATTGATCCCACTGGATATGGGGGATGAATTACCTAAATAGGGGGGAAGATCCTTTGGGATTGGAAGGGTGATCCCACTGGTTTTGGGGAATGATCCCACTGGATATGGGAGATAAGATCCCTGGATATGGGAATGAATTCCCTAAAGAGAGGGCAATGATCCCTCTGGATACGGGGGATGATCCCACTGGTTTTTGGGGGATGAGATCCCTGGATAAGGGGGAAGGATCCCAGTGGATAAGGGCAATGTTCCCACTGGTTTTAGGGGATGAGATCCTAAACAGGAGAGATGATCCCACTGTTTTTGGGGAGGATCCTACTGGAGAGAGGGGATGAGAATCCTGGATATGAATCCTAGATATGGGGGATGAATTCCCTCAATAGGGGAAGGACCCCTCGGGACTGGGGGGGTGAGATCCCTAAACAGGGGGGATGATCCCACTGGTTTTAGGGGATGATTCCATTGGATATGGGGGATGACATCCTGAAAGAGGGGGGATGATCCCTCTGGTTTTGTGGTATGATCCTCTTGGGTGGGGGGGATGAGATCCCTAAATAAGGGGGATGATCCCTCTGGATTGGGGGATTGATCCCACTGGATAAGGGGGATGGATTCCCTAAATAGGGGAGATGATCCCTCTGGACTATGGGGGGTGAGATCCCTAAATAGGGGGGATGATCCCTGGATATGGGGGAGATGAATTCCCTAAATAGGGGGAATGATCCCACTGGAGAGAGGGGACTGAGTTCCCTGGCTAAGGGGGGATGATCCCGCTGGTTTTAGGGGATGAGACCCCTGGATATGGGGGATGGATTCCCTAAATGGGGGAAATGATTCCTCTGGACTGGAGGGGTGAGATCCCTAAACAGGGGTGGCGATCCCACTGGTTTTGGGGGATGAGATCCCTGAATGTGGGGGATCCCACCTAAAGAAGGGGGATGAACCCACTGGATATGAGGGATGAACCCACTGTTTTTGGGGGATGATTCTCTTGGATAAGGGGGAATGATCCCACTGGATTAGGGGATTGATCCCTCTGGATATTGGGGAAGAGATCCCACTGGTTTTGGGGGGTGAGATCCCTGGATATGGGGAATGAATTCCCTAAATAGGGGGATGATCCCACTGGATATGGGGGGATGAGATCCCACTGATTTTGGGGGATTGAACTTCCTGGATAGGAGTGGGATCATCCCACTGGTTTTGGGGGCCTGATCCTCCTGGATAAGAGTGGCATCATCCCATTCTTCTGGAGGGATCATCCCACAGGATGGGAAGGATCATCCCACTCATTTTTTAGGAATTGAAACTTCCTGGATACGAATGGGATCATCCCGTTCTTCTGGAGAGAACATCCCACTGATTTTTGGGAGGGATCACCCCAGAGTTTTGGAAGGATCATCCCACTGATTTGTGGGGATCATCCCACAGTTTTGGAGGGATCATTCCACCGATTTTTGGGGGATTGAATCTCCTGGATAAGAGTGGGGTTATCCCATTCTTCAGGAGGGATCATCCCAGAGGATAAAGAGGGATCAACCCACTCATTTCTGGGGGGTTGAACCTCCTGGATATGAGTGGGATCACCCCACAGTTTTGGAGGGGCCATCTCACAGGATAAGAGAGATCATCCCATTGATTTTTTGGGGATTCAACCTCCTGGATAAGAGTGGGGATCATCCCATTCTTCTGGAGAGAACATCCCACAGTTTTGGAGGGATCATCCCACTGATTTTTGGGGGATTGAACCTATTAGGTATGAGGGGATGATCCTATTCTTCTGGAGGGATCATCCCACAGGTTTGGAGGGATCATTCCACCGATATTTGGGGGATTGAATCTCCTGGATAAGAGTGGGATCATCCCATTCTTTTGGAGGGATCATCCCACTGATTTTTGCGGGATTGAATCTCCTGGATAAGAGTGGGACCATCCCATTCTTCTGGAGGAACCATCCCACAGGACAGGAGGGATCACCCCACAGGGTAAGGGGAATTATCCCATTCTTTTTGAGGGATCATCCCACAGTTTTGGATGACCCCCCTGGATCCAGGAACCGTCCAGCATTAACGGGATCACCCCCAATTCCCAGAACCTCCCAAACGTCCCGTAACCCCCTCCCCCCTCCTTGGGGACAGCTCTCCGAGGTGACCCCACCGAGGTGACCCCACCGAGGTGACCCCGAGGGGACGCTCAGGGGACACTGAGGTCCCTCTGGCACACCCAGGGGAAGCTGAAGTTGCAGTTGTGGATCTGGACCCTTGGACAGGGGGGATGAACCCTCTGGATTTGGGGAATCATCCCACTGATTTTTGGGGGATTGACCGTATTAGATATGAGGGGGATCATCCCACACTTTTGGAGGGATCATCCCATTGATTCTGGGAGATTGAATCTCCTGGATAAGAGTGGGATCATCCCATTCGTCTGGAGGGATCATCCTGCAGGTTTTGGAGGGATCATCCCACTGATTTTTGGGGGATTGAATCTCCTGGATATGAGTGGGATCATCCCATTCTTCCGGAGGAACCATCCCACAGGACGAGAGGGATCACCCCACAGGGTAAGGGGAATTATCCCATTCTTTTTGGAGGGATCATCCCACTGTTTTGGAGGGACCATCCCACTGATTATTGGGACAATTGAACCTCCTGGATATGAGTGAGATCATCCCACAGTTTTAGAGGTATCTGACCCCCCCTGGAACCATCCAGCATTAACGGGATCACCCCCCAATTCCCAGAACCTCCCGAACCCCCGTGACCCCCTCACCCCTCCTTGGGGACAGCTCTCCGAGGTGACCCCACCGAGGTGACCCCACCGAGGTGACCCCGGGGGGACGCTCAGGGGACGCTGAGGTCCCTCTGGCACACCCAGGGGAAGCTGAAGTTGCAGTTGTGGTCGTTCCAGAGCCCCGCGCCCACCGGGTGGATCTGGGCGCAGCCCTCGCCGCCCCATTGGCCGTGGTCGGTGCTGTCCGGCTGCCCTGGAGCCCAGAAACTGCCCAAGGGTGCCGGTCAGGGCGGCATCCCGAGGGATTTAGGGGATCACCCCACTGGATTTTTGGGGGGATTGAACCTATTAGATATAACAGGGATCATCCCACAGGATGGGAGGGATCATCCCACTGATTTTTGGGGGATTGAATCTCCTGGATAAGAGTGGGATCATCCCATTCTTCTGGAGGGGCCATCCCACAGGACGAGAGGGATCACCCCACAGGGTAAGGGGAATTATCCCATTCTTTTTGGAGGGATCATCCCACTGTTTTGGAGGGATCATCCCACTGATTATTGGGACAATTGAACCTCCTGGATATGAGTGAGATCATCCCACAGTTTTGGAGGTATCTGACCCCCCCTGGATCCAGGAACCATCCAGCATTAACGGGATCACCCCCAATTCCCAGAACCTCCCAAACCCCTGTAACCCCCTCACCCCTCCTTGGGGACAGCTCTCCGAGGTGACCCCACCGAGGTGACCCCGGGGGGACGCTCAGGGGACGCTGAGGTCCCTCTGGCACACCCAGGGGAAGCTGAAGTTGCAGTTGTGGATCTGGACCCTTGGACAGGTGGGATGAACCCTCTGGATTTGGGGAATCATCCCACTGATTTTTGGGGGGATTGAACCTATTAGATATAACAGGGATCATCCCACAGGATGGGAGGGATCATCCCACTGATTTTTGGGGGATTGAATCTCCTGGATAAGAGTGGGATCATCCCATTCTTCTGGAGGAACCATCCCACAGGACGAGAGGGATCACCCCACAGGGTAGGGGGAATTATCCCATTCTTTTTGAGGGATCATCCCACTGTTTTGGAGGGATCATCCCACAGTTTTGGATGACCCCCCCTGGATCCAGGAACCATCCAGCATTAACGGGATCACCCCCCAATTCCCAGAACCTCCCAAACCCCCGTAACCCCCTCACCCCTCCTTGGGGACAGCTCTCCGAGGTGACCCCACCGAGGTGACCCCACCGAGGTGACCCTGGGGGGACGCTCAGGGGACGCTGAGGTCCCTCTGGCACACCCAGGGGAAGCTGAAGTTGCAGTTGTGGTCGTTCCAGAGCCCCGCGCCCACCGGGTGGATCTGGGCGCAGCCCTCGCCGCCCCATTGGCCGTGGTCGGTGCTGTCCGGCTGCCCTGGAGCCCAGAAACTGCCCAAGGGTGCCGGTCAGGGCGGCATCCCGAGGGATTTAGGGGATCACCCCACTGGATTTAGGGGATCTGAACCCCATGGATTAGTGGGATCACCCCACTGGATTTAGGGGATCAACCCACTGGATTTAGGGGATCTGTGCTCCAGGGATTAGTGGGATCATCCCACTGGATTTAGGGGATCTGAGTCCCATGGATTTAGGGGATCATCCCACTGGATTAGTGGGATTGTCTCACAGGGTTAGTGGGATCATACCACTGGGTTAGTGGGGTCTCCCCACTGGATTTTGGGAATCATCCCACTGGATTTAGGGGCTCAACCCACTGGGTTAGTGGGATCACCCCAGTGGATTTAGGGGATGAACCCACTGGATTTAGGGGATCTGAGCCCCTTGGATAAGTAGGATCATCCCACTGGATTAACGGGATCATTCCACTGATTTCTGGGGGATTGAGCCTGCTCAGCACTCAGGCACAGCCGTGTCCCCAGGTGTCCCCACCCCGCTCACCTCTGATCGGGGGAATAGGGGGTCCCGTCCGACCAGCGCCAGGAGCCCCCCGTGCCCGTGGCTGTCAGCCCGATCCAGTAGGTGCCACCCCGGGCCTCCCGCGCCAGGTACGCCTGGGGACATGGGGACAGGTGAGGGGACGTGGGGACAGGGGAGGGGACAGGTGAGGGGACACGGGGATACGGGAGGGGACAGGTGAGGGGACACGGGGATACGGGAGGGGACAGGTGAGGGGACGTGGGGACAGGGGAGGGGACAGGTGAGGGGACACGGGGATACGGGAGGGGACATGGGGACAGGGGAGGGGACACGAGGGAATGGGGGACATGAGAAAGGGCAAGGGGAACAGGTGAGATGGGGTGGGAAGGGGGACAGGGGAGGGGAGATGGCGACAGGGGAGGGGACATGGGGACATGGGAGGGGACAGGGGACGGGACACAGGGGAATGGGGGACACGAGAAAGGGCAAGGGGAACAGGTGGGATGGGGTGGGAGGGGGGACACTGGGACAGGTGAGGGGACACGGGGACAGGTGAGAGGACACAGGAGGGGACACGGGGACAGGTGAGGGGACACGGGGGAATGGGGGACACGAGAAAGGGGAACAGATGGGATGGGGAGGGGACACGGGGACATGGGAGAGGACATGGGGACAGGTGAGGGGACACAGGGACAGGTGAGGGGACACGGGGGAAAGGGGGCAAGGGGAACAGGTGGGATGGGGCGGGAAGGGGAACACGGGGACAGGGGAGGGGACACAGGAATGGGGGACAGGGGAAAGGGGGTGAGGGGAACAGGTTGGAAGGGGGACATGGATGGGGGGGCAAGTGAGACAGGTGAGAGGACACAGGGACATGGGAGGGGACAGCGGAATGGGACAGGACAGGGAAAGGGGAACAGGTGGGAAGGGGAACACGGACAGGAAGACAGGTGAGAGGATGTGGGGACAGGTGAGGGGACACAGGAGGGGACAAAGGGAACGGGGAGGATGGGATGAGAAAGGGGACATGGATGGGGGGGACAGATGAGACAGAGGAGGGGACACGGGAGGGCGTGGCAGGGGACACAGGGACAGGTGGGGGACAAGGGAAGGGAGGGGGCAGGGGGTGTGCAGGTAGGAGGGGAGGGGGACGAGGGTTGGGGACAACAACGGGCGGGTAAAGGGGGACAGGACTTGGGGACAGGGGCTGTGTGAGGGGTTGGGGACAGGACAGGGTCTGGGGACAGGATCTGTACCTGGGATTTGGGGACAGGGCCTGTGTGCAGGATTTGGGGACCTGACAGGGGTTGGGGACAGGACAGGAGTTGGGGACAGGATTTGGGGAGAGGACAGGATTTGGGGACAGGGGCTATGCCTGGGATTTGGGGACAGGATTTGGGGATGGGATTTGGGGACAGGACAGGATTTGGGGACAGGGGCTGTGTGCAGGATTTGGGGACCTGACAGGGGCTGGGGACAGGGTTTGGGGACAGGACAGGGGTTGGGGACAAGGGGCAGTGTGCAGGATTGGGGGATGGGATTTGGGGACAGGGGCTGTGCTGGGATATGGGGACAGGACAAGGTTTGGGGACAGGATCTGTACCTGGGATTTGGGGACAGGGGCTGTGTGCAGGATTTGGGGATGGAAATTGGGGACAGGACTGGATTTGGGGACAGGGGCTGTGCCTGGGATTTGGGGACAGGACAGGATTTGGGGACAGGCCCCTACAGGTGCCCAGGCAGCCGCTGCTCAGGTGGGAGGGGACAGAGCAGGACAGGACAGGAGTGGCCGCCCCCGGGGGTGTCCCCAGCCTCACCTGCTCCTCGGCGCTGGTGACAGAGGCCAGGTGCGCGTGTGTCACCGCGCAGGCGGCCTCGGCCGCGGCCCAGGGCTGCCGCTGAACCGAGAACAGGTAAATCTTGCCCCGGTGGTAGCGCCAGCCCAGCGCCAGCGCCTGCAGCCACCGCCCTGCGCGGGGACACGGCCACACCCCGTGTCACACCCCGTGTCACACCCCGTGCCACACCCCTGTCACCACCTTGCCACACCCCTGTCACCACCTTGCCACACCCCTGTCACCACCTTGTCACCTCCCCGAGCCCGGCACCCCTCAGCCCTGCGCGGGGACACGGCCACACCCTTGTCACGCCCCTTGTCACCGCCCTGTCACCGCCTCGTCACCTCCCCGAGCCTGGTGCCCTGCGCGGGGACAGGGCCACACCAGTGTCACACCCCCCTGTCACACCCCCGTGTCACTGCCTTTGTCACCTCCCCGAGCCCGGCACACGGCGACCCCCTTGTCACACCCCCCTTGTCACACCTCCTCCTGTCACGCCCTTGTCACCTCCCCGAGCCCGGCGCCCCACCGCCCTGCGCGGGGACACGGCCACACCCCTGTCACACTCCCCCTGTCACACCCCGCGTCACCGCCTTTGTCACCTCCCCCCCGTCACGCACCGAGCCGGTCCTGCCGCCGCTGTGCCGCTGAAGGGGTGTCACCTGTGGGGACACGGGGACAGGGACAAGAGTCGGCTTTGGGGACAGGGACAAGGGCTGGGGACAGGATTTGAGGACAGGGGACAAGGTTTGGGGACAGACTGTGGGGACAGGGACTGCAGATGGGGACTGGGGCAGGATATGGGGACAGGTTAGGGACAGGGACTGCAGGCTGGGGACAAGATTTGGGGACAGGGGCATGGGCTGTGGGCTGGGGACAGTTTGGGGACAGGAGCTGCTGGGGACAGGGGCCGTGGGCAGGATTTGGGACAGGGGACAAGGGCTGGGGACAGACTGTGGGGACAGGGACTGGGGCAGGATATGGGGACAGGTTAGGGACAGGGACTGCGGGCTGGGGACAGTTTGGGGACAGGGGATGGGATTTGGGGACAGGACAGGATTTGGGGACAGGGGCTGTGAACAGGATTTGGGGACAGGGGCTGTGGGCTGGGGACAGTTTGGGCACAGGGGCTGTGGGCAGGATTTGGGGACAGGGGCCAGGATTTGGGGACCGGGGCTGTGAACAGGATTTGGGACGAGGACAGGACTTGGGGACAAGTCAGGTTTTGGGGACAGGACGGGAGCTGGGGACAGGGCCTGTCCATGGCATTTGGGGACAGCGGGTGCAGAACGGGGGCTGCAGGCAGGCTCTGGGGACACCTTGGGGACAGTGCCACTGCCGGGGGTCCCTCACCGTCGGGCTCGGGCCCCAGGGGCTCGGTGACCGCTGCCAGCTCCGCCCGCGCCGCCCGCAGCTCCCCCCGGCTCTGCACGTCTGGGGAGGGACAGGGGCGTGACAGGACCCCCGACCCTGCCCGGGGTCCCTGTCCGGGGTCCCTGTCCCCTCCTGACCCTGCCCGGGGTCCCTTTCAGGGCTCCCTGTCCCCTCCCGACCCTGCCCGGACCCCCCAGCTCATCCCGACCCCTGCCCAGGACCCCCGACCCAGGGACCCCCCCACAAACCCGGCCTGGCCGTGCCCATTTTGGGGTGGGGACAGCGCCAGGAAGGGACCCGCGATCCCCGCCCGGGGACCCCCAGGCACTCCCTGCCCGTGCCCGGAGCCCCCTGCCCGCTCCCAGCCCCGTCCCCATCCCAGTGCCCGCTCCCAGTCCCTCTCCAGACCCCAGCCCCATTCACCACCTCTCTCCCAGCCCCCGCCCCACTCCCAGCCTCATTCCCAGCCCCTTTCCCAAACCCCAGCCCCTATCCCAAACCCCAGCCCCTTTCCCAGCCCCTATCCCAAAGCCCAGCCCCTTTCCAGCCCCTTTCCAACCCCTCTCCCAACCCCTTTCCAAACCCCAGCCCCTTCCTAACCCCTCCCCAAAGCCCAGCCCCTCTCCCAAAGCCCAGCCCCTTTCCAGCCCCTTTCCCAACGCCTCTCCCACTCCCATCCCTCCCCAGCCCCTCTCCATTCCCAGCCCCTTTCCCAAACACCTCTCCCAGCCCGTCCCCAAACCCCAGCCCCTTCCTAACCCCACTCCCAGTCCCTGTCCCAAACCCCAGCCCCTTCCTAGCCCTTCTCTCACTTCCATCTCCTCCCAGTCCCTTTCCCAGCCCCTCTCCAGACACTCCCCCAAACTCCAGCCCCTTCCTCAACCCCTCCCCAGCCTCTTCCAGCCGCATTCCCATCCGCTCCCAGCCCCTTTCCCATCCCCTTCCTAACCCCACTCCAGTCCCTATCCCAAACCCCATCCCCTTCCCAACCCCTCTCCCAGCCCCACTCCCAGTCCCTAGCCCAGCCCCTTTCCCACTTCCATCCCCTCCCAGTCCGTCTCCAACCCCTCCCCAAACCCCAGCCCCACTCCCAGCCCCTTTCCCAACCCCTCCCCAGCCTCTTCCAGCCCCATTCCCATCCTCTCCCAACCCCTTTCCCAAACCCCAGCCCCTTCCTAACCCCTCCCCAAACCCCAGCCCCATTCCCAGCCCCTTTCCCAACCCCTCCCCAGCCCCGCCCCAAACCCCATCCCCTTCCCCAACTCCTTCCCAGCCTTTTCTAACCCCATTCCCATCCTCTCCTAGTCCCTTTCCCAACCCCTCCCCAAACCCCAGCTCCTTCCCCAAACCCCTCCCCAGCCTCTTCCAGCCCCATTCCCATCCTCTCCCAACCCCTTTCCCAAACCCCAGCCCCTTCCCAGCCCCTCCCCAAACCCCAGCCCCATTCCCAGCCCCTTTCCCAGCCTCTCCTCAGCCCCTTTCCCAAACCGCAGCGCCTCCCTAACCCCATTCCCAGCCCCTTTCCCAAACCCCAGTCCCATTCCCAGCCCCATTCCCACCCTTCCTGCCTGTCTCCCCTCCCGCGGCTGTCCCCCCCTGTCTGTCCCCCCCTGTCTGTCCCCCCCTGTCTGTCCCCCCCTGTCTGTCCCCCCCTGTCTGTCCCCCCCTTGCTGTCCCCCCTTGCTGTCCCCCCTTGCTGTCCCCGCTGTCCCCACTCACAGAGGGTGCCCAGCGCCGCCAGCCCCGCCGCCAGCAGCAGCAGCGCGGCCGTGCCCAGCGCCCGGCGACACGCGCGACACCGCGGCGACAGCGCCGGGGGTGGCGGCCGGGGGTCCCCGCGGGCCCTGGGGGGCGGGTACCGGATCTCCAGCGTCTCGTACAGGTCGGGGCTGTTGGCCATGGCCCCGGGGACACGCTGGGGACACGCTGGGGACACGCTGGGGACACGGACGGTGCTGGCCCCGCTTCCTGCCCCGTGCCCGCCGGGGAACAGGAACCGCGCTGGTGCCACCCGCGTCACGCGTGTCCCCACGCCCCCAGGGGACAGGCAGGGGATGAGGGCGCTGGACCCTGCGGCCAGCCCTGACTGTGTCCCTGTGTGTCCCTGACCCTGTCCCCATCCGTGTCCCTGTCCCCAGTCCTGATTCTGTCACTGGGCTGCTCCCTGTCCCTGATCCTGATCGTGTCCCCATCCTTGTCCCTGATCCTGTCCTTGTCCCTGTCCCTTACCTGTCACTGGACTTGTCCCTGTGTCTCTCCCTATCCTTGTCCCCAATCCTGTCCCTGTCCCTGATCCTGTCCCTGTCTGATCCTGTCCCCATCCTTGTCCCTGTTTCTGTTCCTGACCCTGTCCTTGTCCCTGACTCTGTCCCTGATCTTGATCATGTCCTTATCCTTGTCCCCAGTCCCGTCCGTGTCCCTGACCCTGTCCCCATCCTTGCTCCTGTTTCTGTTCCTGACCCTGTCACTGGACTTGTCCCTGTCCCCAGTCCTGATCCTTCCACTGAACCTGTCCCTGATCCTGCCCCCATCCTTGTCCCTCTGTCTGTCCCTGTCCTTATCCCTGACTCTGTCCCTGTCTGATCCTGTCCCCATCCTTGTCCCTGTCCCCAATCCTGATTCTGTCACCAGACTGGTCCCTGTCCCTGACTCTGTCCCTGATCCTGTCCCCATCCTTGTCCCTGATCCTGTCCCTGTCACTGCACTTCTCCCCGTCCCTGATCCTGAACTTGTCCCAGTCCCTCTGTCCCCAGCCCCTTCCCTGTGTCCCTCAATCCCTGTGTGTGTCCCTAAATCCCTGTGTCCCTGTCCCTAAGTCCCCCCAAAAATGGCCAAATTCACCCCAAAAATGGCCAAATCCACCCCCAAATTGGGTGAATTCAAACTGGGCACGGACACTGCAAAATGGGGAAAATTCACCCCAAACTGGGAAAATTCATCCCCAAATGGGGAAAGTTCACCCCAAACTGAATCCAATCACCCCAAACTGGAAAAATCCATCCCAAAACTGGGAAATTTCCCCCACATTGGCCAAATCCACCCCAAAACTGGACAAATCCACCCCAAAACTGGATCCAGTCACCCCAAACTGGAAAAATCCATCCCAAAACTGGGAAATTTCCCCCACATTGGCCAAATCCACCCCAAAATTGACCAAATCCACCCCAAAACTGGGCAAATTCACCCTAAAACTGGATCCAGTCACCCCAAACTGGTTCTGGTCACCCCAAACCGTGAAAATCCACCCCAAAACTGGGAAATTTCCCCCACATTGGCCAAATCCACCCCAAAACTGGATCCAGTCACCCCAAAACTGGATCCAGTCACCCCAAACTGGGAAAATCCATCCCAAAACTGGGAAATTTCTCCCACATTGGTCAAATCCACCCCAAAATTGGCCAAATCCACCACAAACTGGGAAAAATCCCCCAAACTGGGAAAATTCATCCCCAAATGGGGCAAATTCACCCCAAAACTGGATCCAGTCACCCCAAACTGGGTCTGGTCACCCCAAACCGTGAAAATCCATCCCAAAACTGGGAAATTTCCCCCATATTGGCCAAATTGACCAAATCCACCCCAAAACTGGACAAATCCACCCCAAAACTGGATCCAGTCACCCCAAACTGGGAAAATTCACCCCAAAACTGGGAAATTTCCCCTACACTCGCCAAATTCACCCCAAAATTGG